AGAGCGATTAGCTGTTATCGATATTTTTGTTATAAGTTCGCACTCACATCATTCATAGTACATGAAAGAAGGTGCAAACCAAAAACCATTTTACAACTAATCAAAAGCAATCGTTACGATGAAGTTATCTCAAATATCTACATGAATGAAATAATTTCGCAAAGCCAGTACTTGTTTGTTAATTTTACTTACGATTGATTGATCACAAGATGCTGATCAATGTCATGTATGTCAGTTCCTTCTTAGTGCAGATCGTATCCTACCGACTAAGTTGCAATGTGGCCACCTATCTAGGTGACTCAAATTTGCGTGCACTATGTTGAGATAAAATGGTGTTTGAAGGTAGTCAACAGGAAACCCTGGACCTAGGTATCGTATTACTTGGCACTTGTCAGCGAGGTGTACCTTAAATCTTGAGGTCTCTGATGCTCCCTGATGGGTTCGATTTCGTGTCAACCAGCTTCACAGTCAGAAACGGTAACACTGAGCTATTCGGGCCGTGACTGATCTCTTGTTAGACTGAGATTGATCAGTGAGTGATGATTAATTTAATGTATTTTTCGTCCTGCTTAATATAGAATGAATTTTATTAATTTTACTATTTACTAATTTAACTTGTAATCAATTCAGAAACATTATATACGCAATGTTATTATGAATCGTAAATAGAACGAATTGCATATTCATAATTCAATTACTAGCCAAGAATTTGTTTATTCTCTAGTATGAGAGATGTTTACATTCATCTTTAATAGTGTTAGTGGGTTATTAAATAATTAATGGTTTGAACTAGTTAAAATACTTCATACTACTTCAATGGACACGAAACATTTCAAATTTCTTATGCATAAATTATTTTAACAATAATAATAATAACAAGTTTGAACTTGACCGATATTAAGTGTTTTTCAATAGTTAAATTCTCATTATCTTTTTGTTTTTTGAAATACGCGGTACCAAATATTTATAAAGATTTAATTCAATTAGTCAAATTCTCATTACTATTTTTTGGAAATATCCAGTAGATTCAATAATTATTGGTTTCAATAGTTGAAATCATGAGTCAATTGAAGCTAGACCACCGTGAAAAACCTGGAAGCACTGGACGGCCTTTTTGTTCTAGTATGGGATTCCTCAACAGTGCTCATCCACGATTCCGCTCCCCGCGAGATTTGAACCCACGACTTATCAATCTCGCGTGCGAGCGCTTAACTACTAGACCACTAGACTAAAGTTTCCACAAAACCGCTTCTGACAATAATAATTTGCTCACTAGTGATTGACTTCAAGAGGTATTTCCTGGAGTCCAAGTGAGAAACTGTTACCAGTGGAGTTCAACTAGGTCTGTTGTACGATATCAGCTCACTGAAGACAGTGGTGTACGGTGGTTCAATTTCGATGATTAGTTGAAGTCAGACATTAAGACCGTTGGATACAGGCCGGCTCAGTGGTTTAATTGTTAAGTGCTGACGCGCCAGACTGATAGGTCGTGGGTTGGAATCTCTTGAGGTGGGATCGTTTATGCATAGTGCTTAAGAGTCCCATACTAGGACGGAACGGCCGTCCAGTGCTTCCAGGTTTTTCATGGTAGTAGTCTAGCTTCAATCGACTTTAATTGAACTTACTAAAATCTCCACAAACCCCTTCTGATAAATGTTAGTTTCATTCATTTTATTGAAAAAAAAAATGACATGAAAGAAAAAAATAGTGAAAATACAATTTTATTGAAGAATAGATAATCATCCTTAAGTAGAATACTTGCTCTAGTAACCATGATCTATTTATTATTATTATTATTATTATTATTAAACTAACGACATCTGTCAATGATTTTAATTGATGTTTGGATAGTTTACTTAGATTATTCATAATATTATGTTACTTTTCAATACAAAAAAGGAAGAAAGAAATGAATTTTCGGGACATTTAAAACTAATTTGAATGAGATTGTTTTTAAAATAGAGCAGATATATGTTTTCTTTTTTGAATCTTTCTATTGGTGTTGAACAGTCGATTAATGGTATATATGCAACCTGTATGAATTGTTTTGATGTTGCCTTAAGTCACAAACATTATAATCAAAGATAGATAGTGACTAGTAATGGAATCTAGGACTCGGATTTCATCCACTTAGTGGATAACTCAATGACGATTGAAGCAAACGGTACTTAATTCGAGTCCCGAAGTGAATATTAAAAATTTAAGATGCAGAAACATCTAGCTGACGAGTGTTAAATCGGATGAAATATGTGTTCTTAACTTCAATGCTAGCCACCATCTATCTTTACGTATAAAACCTTGAGTTTTATATTTCATATGTAGTTTAAATTATAGATCAAAAACTACACTCTAATTTGAATTGTTTTCTAACCTAAAAATATGCCTATAATTCTTCATTCAATGTATATAGTAAATGGTTTAGCATACATCCTTTCAATATGTTGCAATTGTGGTCTTTTTATTAAGTTGTAGTAAGGTCTTAAAAATTGGATCAATTGAAGCCATTGAAAGCCAAATTATTGTTTTGTTAAACTAATTACAATTTGTACTACAATGCTTGTCTTATTATTAATACTATTATTATTATTATTATTGAATTGATTTTCCATTTAGTTAGACATTACTATTTTTGATGTAAAATATTCATGCAGAGAAATAATGATCAAAGGTATTATTGAAGAAAAAAATTAATTTATTAGGATTGGAAAGATTCTGTAATTCATTGTTATGATATGAATATCAATATGATTTTTTGCCCTGATTTAATTTACGTATTCATTTAGAATGATATAATGTTTAACCGTTTATTTTCCTTTAGAGGGACATAATTCAATTATTAAGCTTGTTCATTATAAATCACTATGTTTCCTTGAAATGATCCGGTAACCTTTAGAAATGAATGAATGTTTCTGTGAAACAAACAAAAAAATGAAATAAAATATAGGTAGCATATCATAATTTAAAGAAAAATGGGCTCGGCATTCGAATAAACAAATTTTGTGTTGACCTTAGATTTTTCAGTTTGATAAAGTAAAGTTTAAATTTACAATCTGAATCTCGGAAGAATTTAAGAAGTTAATGACATGATGCATAAACATATGAGTTGTTTCTTCTACTACCATTCATATAGATTTCATCAAGATACTAGTTTTACTAATAAATCAGTAATATTATTCAGTAAATATGATCCTTCATATCTGTTGTAAATGTCTTTGTGTAAAGTTTATTCCTTTTTGAACTGACTAGGGTTAATCAACGGTTTTATCCTAATTTGAGACTTGAGCACTTAGTACCTCATTAAGAAAGTCAAATTCTATTACAATTCTAAGAAAATTTAGTGATTTAGAATGTTCTGTAACAATTGTGCCCTTGATTAATGTACTGTAATTCAAAATATATATACTTCTATGTAATTGAGTTTAAATAACCAAACTCAAAAATATCCAACATTTAAGTTTCATTTAAAAGCTTTATACGTTGTGACTAAATGAAAATTAATCTGTGTTGAAACAAAACTGGACAGATTATGTGACCCTTATTGATAATGAAATTCTAATAGTTGGAATGTTCAATAATCATTAGCGTATATGAATCGAATTTGAGGCACAGTTGTATTGTTGAAGACAATTGTCAGAGAGTCTACGTCCGATTCAAAGAACATACTCCGATAAGTCTAAGATCAAATGGATTTAAAGCATTCAGTAGTGTCATTGCAAAACATCCCCTTGATGCAGGATATGAAGTCGATACACTGAAGTCCTTCATGGTGATTAACAAACAATCGAATTCTAACCTTTTGAAATTTACCGAAGTGATAGCAATCAAACGTCTAAAACTAGATCTATGTATACAAAAAGAGACAGTAATAAATTTTTGTTTGCCCTGGTAACACTAAACCCCCATTTTTATTTGTTACGTCATTCCTTATTTCAACTCTTTCTGAAGTTTAAATTACATCAGTCTTTTTTATTTAATTCATAACTGACTGATTTCAATTCATATCTTTCTTTATTATCACTGTTTCAATGTTCTGGAACTTTCCCACCCAAACTTTATTTATCCGAAACAAAATTTCTTTGACCTTATTAACTTCATTGTAATCTTTGCCAAATCAAGATACACATATTCATCTCTAATCACCATCGTATTTTTACGTATGTCATTATCTGTAATAACTTTGATTTTCAAATATTGTAAGTTTTAAGCAGGTGATGAGAACCTAACGAAATAAAATAAATAACATATAATTCTGCTCCAATCTTTGTTCTTGCTCTCTTTACGAAAGTCTTTGATTAAAATTTCATACAAGTCAACATGCTTCAACAAAGAAACCAGTACCCATGTATGTGTACATACTAGACTGATAATTTAATTTTTAACAAGAGATTTTTTGTTATTTTTTTTAATTAACTGTGTTAGAGTAATTTATTAATGATATTGAATCAACTTGCAGTGTCGGTTATTATGTTAGGTCCATATACCTTTCGAACAGTCCAATCTATTCATTCTACTTGAGTCACATTTTGACTTTTTTATTATTCACTTATCAATCTTGACTGTTTTCATATGAGCGCATATATGTATGCTTTTCTTATCCCATTATTCATCACATGTCTGTAACTTATTTTTGTGTGACTATAAATATTGATTAACGCTTGGTTAAAGAGGAAGTTGGCTCACATATCATCTCCACTGCACGTTATGTCACTTTGCTCTCTTCTTTTCAAATCACCAATATTTTGTCTGGATCAAAGATTGTATAAAATATACAGAATCGAAATTCATTCTCGTATTATTTGACTAATTTAATTCTGTTATTGACTAACGTGATTATTTCAGTCGATGATTATATTCGAGGATTGACAATATGTATATCTTAATAGCAATCAGAAATGATCTTACCTAGAATCAGATCCTAAATCATTAACTCCTATAATTGTTACTACATGCATTTTTCTTTATTCTTTTTTTTTTTTGTTGTTGTAAATTTCATTATACAGATGGAGTTCTATTAATATCACAAGATATAAAGAATACCGAATATGTTTTTTTAATCTTTACATGTTCATATCGTTTTGGTCGTGATGATTTAGATGTATTAGGATTGACATTTCAAAAAGAATTATTAATTTATACAAAATGTTTATGGCCAAATCATTCATTAATTATTGATAAACAATTACCTATTTATAATAATATAAAAAATCAAACTAAAAAAACATGGAAAAATAAATTTAAAAGAAAAATAAAAAAGAAAATTGAATCGATTGAAGATATTTCATCGATTGTATTAAGTGATGATTCCTATGGAATATTTAGTCAAACTTTAACAATCAATGATTTATCACCATTTCAATTAAAATTAATTAATAAATGTAATCAACGTACTATACCATTTCGTATATTTGTAAGTTGATTTATTTATTGTTTTAATTATTCAATGAATATTAATGTTTTTTTAAATAGTTGAGATCATAAGTCAATTGAAGTTAGATCATTATGGAAAACAGTGGAAGCAGTGGACGGCCATTTCGATCTTACTGTAGGATTCCTCAACAGTGGGCATCCACGATCCCACCTCAAGAGATTCGAACTCAGGATATATCAGTCTCGCGTGTGAGCACTTAACCACTAGGCCACTGAGACGGCCGGTATCCGACGGTTTTAATGTCTAACTTCAACTAATCCATGAAACTGAGCGACATATTCATCATTGTCTTCAGTGAGTTATTGTCTTATAACAGACCCGGTTGAACTCCACTGGTCATGGCTTCTAAATAGAACTCCAAGAAATACTTCTTGAAGTTTGTTAGTAGCTAGTTTATAATAGAACTATGTTATTTTGATCATCTCGAAATTAGACTTATTCAATGAAAGAAACATATTTCGTTTGATTAAAATAAATTTTTTCCAAATAAAATATATTCGGGTTATTCATTTGGTTTCACTTGGTGTGGTTTAGTTGAATCTTCCTCTTTGATGTTTAGTACTACGATTGATCAGTCTTGTATTAGCATATGTGCACACATCCTGGATTCCACTACTAACCACTATCTATCTTTGCTTACAATACTTGTGAATTAAGGCAATATCGAAGCAATGTGACAAGAATGATTATATGCCTATTAGAGACTAATCAACTTTAATCATAAAAATCAATTGTAATATTCAATCAAACAAAACCAAGTGATTTTAAACTTCAATACGTTTCACAAGAAAGTGAATGTCAGGACCCAGTAACTAAGTGGATAACGTGATGACGTTTGAAGCGAATGGTACTGGGTTCAATTCCTGGATTGAACATCAACTCTGAGATACAGGTTTATCCAACTGACGAGTTCTAAACAGAACGAAACGCGCGTCGTAAATTTCACTAATAGTCAATATCCATCTTTGTTTATTCATTTTTGTTTAGAAGTAATCATTATTAAAAATTAATAAGTAAATGAAATATATAAGCATTAGGTCAGTGAAAACCTGCTGATTCTTATGAAAAATCATTCAGAGTGAGGATAAGGGTAACACTTTATAAAAGCCTAGAATTTTACTCAAATGATCTAAATGAGTTTTATTAAGCCATTCAATAAGACTTAAAACATTTCCTATTGTTCTTCAAATCCTACATAATCCAATAGGACATGGATTCCAGAATAAGGTCAAAGAAAAATTATGATATACTCTTATATGAATAAGTTAGATTGATTTGAATTCATCACGGAGCGATGTTTCTCTTTTTTCGTTTCATTTATCAATATAGTTATAAGTATAATAGTTTCTTCAACTGATTAGCTTGATATCCAATAGGTTATTTTCAATTACATTTCATTTCTAACATTTTCTCGTGGATAAACATATAATCAGTTACAATGTATCTAATTAGTACAAAACTCATTTCTGCACAACAGAAGAATAGTTGTCAACCTCTGTGGTTATAACGCTAACATAGTTTGAACGAGTTAGGTAGCTTCAGTTCTTTGTGGAGTTTTTCTAGGTCTTGTTTGAACATGTCCACTATCATAAAAATCATGCTTAGAGATTTTCACGGATTTACTTCAACCATTTAACCTTAAACAAAGCGTACCGTTATGTTGATCTTTTTAGGTTGGAAGCGACATTAAAACCTGATGATTGAAGTTTGATCCGGACTAAAGACTAGAAAATTTGACAGTGCATATTACTCAGTGATCAAATATTACAAACATGAAAAAATATCTTGATTTAGTTTTCAATGATATCAATTATCCGATTGTTGCCAGTTCCATGACATTTATACTTCACTTGCAAACTGCTTCATTGAGCTATTATGTTACAGGCTTTATTGAGTAAATGTACCATAACTAACATTAGAATCTAAGAAAGCCATTTCTTTCCATTTCGCATGAGATAATCTATTCTATCGCAAATGAAATAAAAAATCATACACAATCGGAAGATTTTCTGAATTCATTTGCTAATTGAATAACACGGTAGGCATTTGAAACAAAATGAACTGAATTCGATTCCGTGTGTCGCAATCCCAAATAGTTTGCATTACTAACTAAATAACATCTGTTCTGCTTAGTACTGTTGATTCTACGATAAAATGGTAGAAGTAACTGTTAACTGTAATATCCCTTTCTAAATTTTCCTAGTTAATCAATATTAGCTATTTATTCTGGACTACTTATATTGATTTATATCAACTGTCAGATTTTTTCAATTGAATTTTCAGTTACCTCCATCCATATCTCCTTCATCAGTTGCTATTCAAACAACCCAAGGAAGCAATAATAAAGTAAGTATCAACAAATTATTTTATTACAGCATTTATTTAAAAAAAAACAAAAAAAGAGCGTATTTATATTCAGTATCTACAATATCAGAGAAATTGGGACATGAACTGACTGACTTAACTGACTGATTTCCTGTCTTGAATAAATGCATTTTATAAAAAAGCGAAACTTAAATATTATCAAAGTAAATAATAAATGGGAATTGGTTTAGTCGTTTTAAAGTAATAAATTTATCTTTGTGATATAGGCCTAGAAACAATTCAGTAATAGTATCAATATCAGTAGTAGTAGTAGTAATATTAAAACAGAATAGAATTTGACTTTATCTTATTAGTTTATTTACTCCTATTATCATTATTACTATTATTATTATTATTTATGATATTTCTTTCTTGTTGAAGAACAAAATCACTATACTTAGAAAAAAAGAAGAATGAATTTTCCTATCCAAATTATAAAAAAAGGAAACTGAATTTAGATTTAAAACATTAATCCTAATAAATCATTATTAGAAAGAATATGAATTATTCCGTTACTAACAGACTTAAGTGAATTATAATCAATTTTAGTCAGTTAATATGTATATATATCTAGATGTTTATTTTCTTAATTTTGCTATAAATGAAATGAATTTAGTTGCTAGCTAGTTAATCTATTGAAGGATATGATTTATACTTTACTTTGGATTTATGTTTACATTCTAATAATAATATTCACTTCTGATATGCAATGAGAAGACGAAGTTTATCAGAATTATGTGATATATTTACACAATACATTTCGAACAATCTGATCACACGTATATTTGTTAAGACATTTTTATATAAAAATTAAACTAGATAGGTTAAACATATGTGTTGAAACACGTACATTGGGAGGAGCAATCATGATTTGCAATTAAGGGTGGGTGAACACATAACAAAATGGTTGCAGAAACAAATGGATTCCAATGATCAAAAAAGATCACAGGATAGAGAGACATCATCCTCGATTGAGAAACATTTGATTGAGATTGGTCATAAGGTTGACATCAAGTCACAGCATTTGTAGTGTTATACAAAAGCCTTCATGGACGTATACTAAGGTTTATTGAAGCCTTAGTTATACGGAAATTGAAACCCCCTTTATGTGTTCAAAAAACAATTTGTCATTACACTTAACCTACCATGGTAATACTGATTTATTATCAAGAGTGGTAATCACATTTGTTTTTGTGTACTTTAATATTATCAAAAGGAGTTTTGTGGAGATTGTAGTAATTTCAACAGTTGAGATCATGAGTCAATTGAAGCTAGATCACCATGGAAAACCTGGAAGCGCTGGACGCCCGTTTCGTCCTATTGTGGGACTCCTCAGCAGTGCGCATCCACGACCTCGCCTCACGAGATCTTAACCCAGGACCTACTGGTTTCGCGCCAGGGTCATTTGTGAGATAGTAACTCACTGAAGACAATGGTGTACGGTGGCTCAATTTCGTGGATTAGTTGAAGTAAGACATTAACACCGTTGGATACCGGCCGGCTCAATGGTCTGGTTGGCTAAGTGCCTGACGCGAGATTGATAGGTAGCGGGTTCGAATCCTGCGAGGTGGGGTCATGGATGCACACTGCTGAGGAGTCCCAGAATAGGACGAAACAGCCGTTCAGTGCTTCCAGGTTTTCCATGTTGGTCTAGCTTTAATTGGATCATGATCTCAACTATTGAAACTACTTTAATATTATTATTTTTCCTTGTTATGACTTATCTTTAACCTGTCTAGTTGACCTTTTAATTTTTATATAAAAATATCTTAACAAGTTTATGTGTGTGATCAGATTGTTGGAAATGTAATGCACTAGTATATCATCACATACTTACTTACTTACTTACGCCTGTTATTCCCAATAGAGCATGAGCCGCCGACCAGCATTCTCCTACGCACTCTGTCCTGGGCCTTCTTTTCTAGTTCCATCCAATTCTTGTTCATTTTTCTCATGTCTATTTTCATCCTCAGCGTAATGTGTTCTTTGGTCTTCCTCTTCTCCTTTGGCCTTCATGATTCCATGTGAGGGCTTGTCTTGTGACGCAGTTGGGTGCTTTCCTCAATGTGTGTCTTATCCACTTCCAGCGCTTCTTTCTGATTTCGTCCTCCACTGGGATCTGGTTTGTTCTCTCCCACAGTACGTTGTTGCTAATAGTATCCGGCCAACGGATCTGAAGTATTTTGCGTAGACAACTGTTAATAAACACCTGTATCTTCTGGATGATGGTTTTCGTAGTTCTCCAGGTTTCTGCCCCATATAGTAGAACTGTCTTGACATTCGTATTGAAAATCCGACCTTGGTGTTGGTTGATAGTTGCTTTGAGTTCCAGATATTCCTCAGTTGTAAATATGCTGCCCAAATATGTAAAGGTTTTTACATCTTCCCGGAGGGACTCCGGCAGGAGTTATATCATTACATAATTCTAATAAATTTCATTTTTTTATTGCATTATCGTAATTTATCAAATTGGACTAATTGTTTTAGACCTAATATTCACATCATGATCTAAGTTTTTTTTATTTCTATTCACAAATCTAACTGACATTGTTGTTGTGTTTTTTTTAAAAAAAAAATTAACAACAAACCAAAAGTTCTCTTAGATACAATTTTGTATTATGTTTTTATTTCGTTTTCAAATTTAATTTTGTTTATTTTATTTTTTTTTGAAACAAGAAAAAAATAATGAACATTGATTTTAATAATCCTTATTTATAAAAAAAGAAAAAAAAACAAGTAGTAGATGGTTACAATAAGAGATAAATAATAAAAAAATTATCTGTTTGGTAGATTAAGTTAATAGAATCATTCAATGGATGAATGATATGTTAGAATATATATATATATATAGTTATGAGAAGAAAGATTATTAAGTATCTTTACATATTTTGTAGATTTCTGTAGGCTATATAAAGTTTAAGAAAAAAACAGAAGCCTTCATTTCCATGGCTTAAATGTAAGACTATTATAGATTAGAATGTTAATTCTAACGGGAATAAATTCACAGTATAGTTAGGTAATCACACTTATTAGATAAGATAAGTAGATGGTATAAATGTTAGTTATGTTCATTGTTATACATTTTTAAAATTAAAATTCACTTGAAATTAACAGTTACGTTATATGTAAAAGTGCTCCATAATTTATTGAGTATAAGTTTTCTTTATACATCATGAGATCATGAGTCAATTGAAGCAAGATCACCGTAGACAATCTCCACAAAAACCATTCTGGTACTAATCAACACACGCTCACTAGTGACTGACTTCAACAAGTATATCCTGGAGTTCTGGTGAGAAGCAGTGGAGTTCAACCAGGTCTGTTATGAGATACTAACTCATTGCGGAGAGTGGTGGACGGTGGCTCAGTTTCGTGGATTGGTTGGAGTTAGACATTAATACCACTGGATGCCGGCTCAGTGGTCTAGTGGTTAATTGCTCGCGCGCGAGACTGATAGGTCCTGGGTTGAAATCCCACAAGGCAGGGTCGTGTATACGCACTGCTGAGGAGTCTCACAATATGACGAGACGGCCATCCAGTGCTTCCAGGTTTTCCATAGTGGTCTTGCTTCGATTGACTCATAATCGCAACTATTAAAACATGAGATTTGTTGTGACTTTAAGACATGATTTATTCTTGAATCGGAATACGACTTATACAATCTTAGTACTGTGCTAAACCAATGGTGTTCGACCAGTATGAGCAGCCTAGAGTCTTTGTTGATGCACTGTTTGCTTAGCTCGTCCACTTGATTGCAGGAAGCCAATAACAGTTCCCACTATGCGAATCGTTTATTTCAAATATACTTGGTTTATATACCAGCCAAACAGACCGCAGCGCACCATAAAATAGAAGATAACAGTTATACAAAATCAAGCCAAAACACTGGCTGTGAACGTGGAAGACTGTAATCAATAAACTGAACATAACTTAAGAATAGTAAGTTGTATAATAATAATCAATGGTCAAAATGAAGCTCAGAATAAGAGGAATACAGATATACATAATCTAGTTACTAAGCAATTACACAATAGGGATATATATATATATATATAATATTAGTCCATTATTAGTTCTCAGTAGTTACCCGTAATTTAGTCTTCACCAGGATGTAACAAGGTTAAGAAAGTCTTTAGATTCAACTACACATCAACTATTATTTGGATACATCCATGTTGAACTATTTTTAATATTTTGCATTTAATATCTCATAGGTTTGATTTTCAAATTTCTGCCTGAGTAAATTTATTTAATAAAAATGGTCTGTTACTATTATGAAATAGATTGTCATTTTTTTGTTCAAGAAGTTGGTTAAAAAGAATGGAACAAAAGAATTATAGTAAATGAATACCTGGATGCGGTAAACCGACTCATTGTAATTAGTTCAATTGCAATTCATCTGCATCACCGAATGGTGTTATCCATAAAATTATTTAAATTCAAGTAAAACTGACTGGTTGTCAACACATAAACTAATTCTGAGAAATTAGGAGTTGAGCACTTGTTTTGAAAGTCTTATTAGTCCTCGTGAACTGCTAACTGACGAAGTCTCTAAACGTACTCGAAATTTAGGTTTTCTTTCGCCATCTTGTGTCACTTAGAATGTAGCCAGGACCTCCGTATGGTAAATAAAGGATACGCTTATTGTTCAGACGCTTGTGTGGCGAATTCTAGTCAACAGAATTAGTTCGAAAATCTGTTGCGTATGCCCAACTACCGCCTGTCTGTGATAATAGTAGTATGGAAGAGGGTAATGCATCACCATACTAAGACGTGGCGTGAGTCTATGAAAGTCAATTGAATTGCTCCATATTGGTAACAGATGTAGACTACTTGATTTGGGTCTACGAGATTTTCGTAACCGATGGTTGGTGATTAGGGTGTATGGCTCAAATTCGTTCGCATTATTGCAGATACAATTACTCTGTCTCCTCCTTACATTCTGAGTCTCTAAATCCCTATGCTTTCAAAGTTCGTCAACT